GATAATAAAAGAAAGAAAAACTATATATCATTATATGCCATGTTATATGCCTATATCTTGCTTTGATACCAGCTCCTATTAGTTTACCATTATTATCACTTCTATAATATCCTGATATATATATCGGAATAATATTAGTAAACAAAAAGTATATTATTTTATATCTGATATCTATCTTTTATATTACTCTAATACTGATATCTGTTATTTTACCAATATTATCCTTTCTATATTATCTCAATATGTATATCAGTATAATAATAGGATTATATAGGCATATCTCGATAGTTATACATTCAACCTGTGAATACTATAATTAGTTGAAGTAAACTTTATGATAATTTTGTTGAAAATTTATGTTGCGAAATGCAAATATTAAATTTTAGCCAATCAGCACAACTTTATAATAAAACTTTAACCATCTTTTTTTTTTATCATGATAATGAATTTGCTTAACTAATAATTTATTTTCTACTAATTAAAAATTGAACTCCGACTATGGTTGAAAATATCATAGTAATTTGCTAGCTATTTTTTTTTTTTTTTTTTTTAATCTTCAAAGGTGAGATTTGCTAGCTATTTCAAAAGTATCATTATTGATTTATAATATATTAAAATTTATTAGCTATAATTACAATATATGCATATTACAAATTAAATAAATAACTTTATTATATAAAACACTTGTAAAATAATTTATTTGATAGTGATATATCAAAAAAGACATTTTAAACAATAAGCAATGGCACAGTAAATAGCCGGCAAATTACTATGATGTTTTCAACCCTATTGATTTAGATGCTTAAAAACTCTCTTAATTTTTGTAGTATAACTTTATAACAATGATCGAACAATAGACAACTCTTAATACTGATAAATTTTAAAAAATTTGATGTGTTGAATAGCATTATTCAACTTATATTCAATATATCTAATAATATGTCATGTGGCTTCTGTTGCTTCATGGACATCGATGTCCGTAAGCCACATGACATATTATTAGATTTATTGAATATAAGTTAAATAACTTATATTAAATGCAAGTCTAATGGCAGTTGAATAATGCCATTCAATACATCAAATTTTTTAAAATTTATCAGTATAATGAAAAGACTTTCGAGACACCCAGGGTGACTACCAAAGAATCTAGTTATATAGATTATGCAAGAGAATACATTGTTCTGTATAATTCATTTATTTAATAAACAATAGGCACTTCCAAGCAAAAAATTTGGCCCTTCCTTTAAGAAAATATCTATTGTCTAATCATTGTTAGTAGTGCATTCCATAGATTACTCATGAGTGTTTCATGGTTTGTTTCATGAATCAAAGAACAATTATAATATGCAGGAAAACAATTATATAAATATGCATACACCTAATCCACTACAATATCGAACTGAATTTTTGCTTAAAAGCACTATAAGCTGTATAATCTTCTCATTAGAAAAACATTCATGTATAATCTGATTTTTGGTGATCATCCTGAAAGCCTCATGGAAGGACCTATAGATAGTTACCAAAATAGCTTATTATAAATATACTGATGTATATTTTAAGCATAAATTTTAATGCAATTATATTATATGACTATATTAAAATTTATGCTTAATTAAACAAACGTACAGTATATTAATAGCAATTGAATCTCTCGAATGATTAATAATTGATAATTAATTAATAAAACCAGATCAATTTAATTTAGTGGTTTACATTACCTCTTTTTAGTAAAAAAATTTTGAAGATATACATATATGATTTTGGCCAGAGAGCTAATACCAGGCAGAATTAAAATTAGAAATTGTAAGGATCTGAAAAATTCTGAAGAGAAATGAACGAACATAAAAAACGAGCAAGGTCAAACTGATAATTTCTATTGAAAAAAATTTTAATCAAATTTACTATGCATATGTTCCAGAGTTCTCAGATTTTTGTAGCAAACTATTTTTTAGCAAATAGCTAGCAACAATTGTCTTGTACTAAGATGCGAAATTTGCTACTTTTGCTCTAACATGTGATTTTACTTTTGTTTTTGAACTGATTTATATAAACGAGTAATTATATGCATATTTTAGATGATGATTGAAGAACTCACTAAAATGATAGATGAAGAACTTGCAGAAGAAAAATATAATTACATTAAATTTATACTTATAAATATAAATTTTATAATAAGCTATTTTGTTAAATTTGCCAATTTTACTAGCTATTTTTGCTTTTTTAATAAGCTATTTTGTTAAATTTGCCAATTTCACTAGCTATTTTTGCTTTTTTAATAAGCTATTTTGTTATATTTACCAATTTCACTAGCTATTTTTACTTTTTTAATAAGCTATTTTGTTAAATTTGCCAATTTCACTAGCTATTTTTGCTATCAACGATCAAAATGATTAATTATTAACTAACTTGAAGATTATATTGAGTTCTTAGTTTATTGTCTCTCTAAATTATGCATATTTTTATGCAATCAGGTTTTTGTTTTCTAAATGAAATATAATAATCCAATTTTTTGATAGATCAAGAAAATAATAATCAATTGAAAGAATTTATATCTTTCTTTTTTTTAAGATTAAAATATAAAAAGAATTGTATCGCCAATTCATGATTCAAATTGAAGTTTGATTTTTTTTTGATTTTTTGCCTTAGAAATGGTTAAAAAAACTTTTAAAACTCAAAAATCTTTTAAAGCCCAAAAACCTTCTAAACCATAAAAACCTTCTAAAACACAAAATTCTTTTAAAACTTAAAAACCTAAAACTCAATCCTCTAAGACTTGAAAATTAAGGAATGAAATAGGAAGTGATTATAAAAGCAGAAGTGAAAGTAGTGAAAGTGAAAGTAGTAAAGATAGAAAAAAAAAAAGTAAAAAAAAGAAAGTATAGGAGCGAGGGCAACTAAGAAAAAAATAAAAAAAGAAAATTTAAGTAAGTTAATAAGTTAGGTGCTGTGAAATTGACAAAAAAAAAAATCTTCTGAAAATCAATTTTTATATTATAAATCTTATAATAAATTATAAGAAAATGCAAGCTTTAAAGAGCTATACTACAAAATTTTATTAATATAACTACTTTAGTGTTTTATGTAAAAAATGATCCTAATCTTATTTTAATTAATTTATGTAAAGAAATTTCTTTTAAAAAAATAGTCAATTTCGTCCTTTTTTGCAGCACCTAGCCTATATAATTATTTATTTTATTACATACTAATTAATTTATTAATATATAATATATAGTGAAAGATCAACTTTATCAAAACAAAAAGTACACAAAAGAAAAGAACATATTGAAAATAGTTTAGATAGTTCGACTGTGAAAGAAATGATTAAACGACGACGAAATATTTTAGAAAAGGATAAAGAAACATCTGAAGAAGAAACATCTGAAGTAGTGATTGGACCCGTTTTATTCAGGTGACCTGTTGGGCTGATCCAAGTAGACTGACAAGTATTCTCAGCCAATCGCTGATGTTTTGTTTACATCAGGTAAAATAGGATTAATACATTCTATTTTACCTAATGTAAACAAACATTAGCGATTGGCTGGAAATACCCATCAGTTTACCCGGATCAGCCCGACGAGTCACCTGAGTAGAACGGGTCTAATCACTAATCTGAAGAAAAAACTAAGAAAGAAATACCGAAATCAAAAAAATATATATCTATTAAAAAAATGCTATATGAACTTTTAAAGGCTTTACGTGTAAGTATATTTACTTGAAAATTAATTTCTAAGAACTTTAGTATATAATCTTGATAATTACCAAAATGAACTCTGAAGTTCAGGTGTGCTATTGTTGAAGGGCCATTTGGTTAGTGAGGATTACAAATATTAGATATTGCGGCAATAGCACACCTAACCTTTGAGATCTACTCTGGATAATCAAGTTTCAGTAGATTTGTTTTAATTATTATTTTTATTATTTTTTTATATTTTTGTTATTTATTATTTATTATTTATTATTTTTAACTTTCATAATTAAATGTGTGCAACTGCTAAAAACATTTGGTTAGTAAGAATTACAAATATTAAATACTGCAGCAGTAGTACACCCGTTCTTTGGAAAATCAAGTTTCGGTAGATTAGTTTTTTATTTTTTTATTTTGATTTTTTTAACTTTTATAATTAAACTGAAAGCTATTTGATTAGTAAGGATTACGAATATTAATATTGTGGTAGTGACATACCTGACCTTTAGGATTCGTTACAAGTTCTAATAGTTTTATTTTTTTTTATATCAAATAGTTTAATTTTTAATATTAAACTTCTATGATTAATATACTAACATGTAAGCAAAATACTAAATTTATTTTAGAGAGAAATTACTTTAATCATATCGAAATTACGACCTGATCAGCAATTAAAGCTTAATAAGACCTTTGAAGAACAAATAGATTTAGTTAATAAAATAATAATTCTACTAATTACAAAGGCCTTGAATGAAGAAACGTTTCTAGTTGTCAATAGTGTAATTTACAAAATATTACATTAATGCTACCAACACCAAAGAGAGAAATTTAATTTAAACCAAAAATCACCTGAAGAAGTAGAAATTAATAAAAAATGATGACATAAAAATACTCGTAGGGCTGCAGTAAATAAAATATTATTTGGGTTGTTGCATAACTATGCAACAACCATATTGTTAATTTAACTATTTATAGTATTAAGACTTTTTTTATAATAATAAAAAAGACAATGAAGAGCAAGAATGATTGATCATTTAATAGAAGTAAATGATAAGCTAATAAGAAAAGTAAAAAAAGAAGACTTAAAAATAATACAGAGTAGTAATCGTTACTATTCTCCAGAGGTTTCAGAAACAGATGTTGAATTAATAGAAAGAAATATTGTAATTAAAGATCTGAAGTGGAGATCACAAACTGTAAGTTAAATTTATAATATGCATAGTCAAATATCAATATATCTTTTTTTTTTTGATGGACATCATATAATATGCATCTTTTACCGACTATAAGTATGCATTTGTAAGAGTATATATTTAGAATTAATAGATCTATAAGTGTTCTTAATAAACAGTACTAAGATATATAGTAAAATTATAGAAAATATATACTTATAAAACTTGTATATATAGAAATTAATTTAAATTATTTTATTTTTAAGTTGAAAGAGATGCTAAGAGATTATGTGGACAAGATTTATGATGAAACAACTAAGGTCAAAAGAAGTTGGGTAAGAAAGTATGGAACAGAGTTTGCATCAGAAGAAAATCTACCAATAAATGCATTAAAATAGACATTAGCAATGAAACTGAGATTGATGAAGAGGTGAGTGAGATTGATGAAGAGGTAAATGAGGTCGATGAAGAGGTGAATAAAGTTGATGAAGAGGTGAATGAAGTCGATGAAGAGGTGAATGAGCTCTAAATATTAAAAGCATTGTAAAAACTTATTTGGCCAAGTAATTTGTTATTTTGAAGATATAAATTCATAAACATGGAATATAAAATACAGATTAATTCTTTTTTTATAGGGAAGAAAATAGCAGATAGCAAATATTTTACTTATTTCAAATATTATATTAAAGAATGATACAACTATATATCTTTGATAATATATAGCAAAAATAGAATTATAAATATAAATTAGACATAGTAATTTCTACTTTAATAATATGCTTATATAAAATTAATCTATTATAAAATTAATCTGTTGTTGGACAAAGGTGTCACAGGCAATTTATATCTTCAAAAATTCTGCAATATGATTTGTCGATAAGTATTTTTTCTTATTTTATTATTTATTATTAACTATATTTTTAACTTATTTCTTTATGTTCTATTAGGGTTTCTAAGTCTACCAAATGCTAGTTTATAATGATAGACAATTAACAAATATAAAATATGAAGATTTTAGAATAAAATATAGATTACTTTCACTGGTAACATATGCATTATGGTGCATTTGTGGAATTAAGCAGACAATTGGTCACCAAATCCATGCTAAAATCAAATTTTAGTTACCAAATTATATATTAATCAATTAATGTTAAACCTACTTCCAACGCATTTCATCATCATAACTTGAGGAATGTTGATTATCTTAGTCAAAATCTATATTTATATATTAGTAGTCAAATTTTTAAAATTTTGAGATAGTTTACAAATATGCTGTAATGGATAACTTATCAGTAATCATTTTGGCAACCCTCATTAGTGTCTACCTGGTCATTGCAAAATTAAACGTTTGATAAATCTTAAATTATACGAATTATCTGGGTAGGGATAGGAATCAGCTATATAATTTAGTTGACTAAATCGACTAAACATAATAATTTACATATAAATTTTTTAGTCGACTAAATTGATTCCTATCCCTATATGCGGGTCCTGAAATTAAAAGTTAAAAATCACATAAATTACAAATTGCTCTGTAACTTACAAAATTGTAATATAACTTTACAATTAATAGTAATTACTATACCAATGCTACGTAAAAAAGTTAACAGCTTCAGGGTATAGTCCGGATTTCCAGATATTGGCTAGAATATTTACCTAATTAGCATTAGAATTAGAATATTTTTAGTAGATTTAGATGTGTTCTTATATGTAAAATTGCATCCTGGACATCTCGTGATAGTGTACCATATTTTTTATGCTTTTATTTTTTTTTGTTCGAAATAATCTTAGTTATCTGCATATTTCTGTCTATTTCTGAAAAATTTGAACTATGCCCTGATGTTGTTATAAAAGTATTAATTGATAACTTTTAAAAGTACGTTAAGTGCTATGATAAATCCTTTTGTAAAATGTGACCTGGGTCACCATCATGACAAAGAACATTGTCCAGGACATTGGACACCATCCAGGACTGTCAGTGTTCTTGCAATTTAATAGGACAATGTTCGTAAATAGCCTGTAATTTGTAATTCACGTGATTTGTAATTTAAGATTGGTGATGCGAAGTTATATAATAATTTTAGACAAACTTTTTGTACTATACAGTGCTGCATACAGTATCTCAGTCTTTTACAAAAAATCTAAGATTAATAATGTCTCAGAGATACTGTGTGAAGAGAGTGATACTATATAAGGGGTATACTGAAAAGAGTATAATCATATAAGTTGATTGCATAGCAGAATCATTTATTCAGGCTAGAAGTCTGCAAATTACCTATTTTTGTAGCCCGGCCTGTATATATATAGATTTTTCTCAGGTCCAGGCCATGGAACTCAATGCAGGCCTCTATCCTTGATGACTAGGCCAACTTGATAATACTGGTAATAGAGCATGGCTCATATGATTAACATTCTGTAATACTATTCAATATAGTGTATTAAGCCACAGGATTTTAATCTGCTGACTAAGCCAGCTAACTAAAAAATTAGCTAAGTGACTGATTTTACCCAACCTTTGTTCTTGTGTCTTGAGAATTTTACTACTTAATCATATGATCTTTAGCTGTGCAGACTTGCTGGCTTAAAAACACCAAATTTAATTTAGTTATTACAGTAAAGATCAGTTCATTAGGTAGCACAACAAAAAATTTTACTATAGTATACAATATATAACTATATATATACTATTATAATAAATATATAATATTTATACTATTTTTTTTTTTTTTTTTTTTTAAACTTTGGCTAGAAAAGCTGGTGAAGCCTTTATTAGATCTATCCGTAGATACATACATAATTTTTGAACTATATTACAATCTATTACTAGACTATGCTAACCCAACTGGCAACCTGACCTTTATCCAGCTGCCCTAATGGGTGCCCAAATATATTCTAGTTGCATCACCAGCACGCTATGGCCGAAACCAACACTAGCAGTCAGGGTATCTTTCACTTTGGAGACATTGCTATTAAACCGCCTGCTAGTGGGGAGGATCAGACCCATATCCGATACTACTCCTGCATTCTGAAACTACTATATCTAGCTAGACTATGTTCTCTGCATCACCTACCTTTTCGCTTCTATATAACTCCCAAATTGGTAACATTCAGGTTATAGATCCTGATGATCTCCCAGTTTGGTGTGCCATGTTATTAATTCTCCTAAAAAAATTCTGACAAAGGTCCAGAATCTGCAGAAACTCGTATCTCAAGCCAGAAACTGCTGCCTAGTTAGGTTCACCACATAACAGAGTTGGTATTTCATTGACTGATATTCCCTTTCACATTTCTGCCTAGGTACTACTAACCCGTATCTCAAGCCAGTTTCTGCTGCCGCAGTTCCACCACAGATGCCCCAGGTCTTAATGTTATACAGTTGCTCAGTGCACTCCTCTATTCTTTTTAAGTACTACCTGCTATGGTGGGGTTTAGAACTTATTTTACACGTATACAGGACAATTTTGATTGTATCTAGGGAGTTACACCGACCCTAGTGACACCATACTACCATATTATACTTGCTTCCAGCATGTTGTTATACAAGACCAGGACAATTCCGGTTATATCCAGGGAGTTACACCGACTACAGTGATGCTGTACTACCATTTGAATTATAAACCCCAGAGGTTGGTAGATCCTAAACTTGTTCGTTATAGACTTCCATATAGGTGTGACCGGAGCCTGATTCGGTACTTTTACATGTACTCAGAATGTTAGACAACCTCCATATTCTTTGCCTTTTATAGTATTTTCATTCTGCACTGCCAGAGGTGCTTCTGCTTCTGGTAAGGCCAATCCTTTATCACAGTCCGTCTACATGTTCACCACTTTTCTCATTACTCCAACTTTGGTAATGATAATCACCCTCCCAATCAAGTACCTGTATCTTCAATCCAGATAAGGACTAATTCACGCAGTTTATTGACCACCCTTTCAAGCAAGTACCCCACAAGTTGGATGTAAGGATGTTGGTATTGTCTAAACTGGAGATACAAGGATATTGATGCTGCTCCGTCTCGAAGGACTTACTTGCGCAATCTTCATAGCCGCAGTCTTCTGTAACATCGCAGTTACACATAGTGCCCACCCTCCACGTTTGGGTCTCCTTCCAGGAATTCCTAATCCAGAATCATACTTGCACTTGGACTTAG